ACGGGCCCCCTGCCACAGGCAGCTAGATCACTGCTAACTGCTGCACTGATAGATTGGGACGAGGGCTGGGACCTGTCCCATCCTTGCAGCTCTTTCTAAGCCCTGTGCCTTGATGTGGGGCACAGGGCTGGGACCTGTCTCTGACCACGACAGTACCTGGCCAGCCCTGGCTGCACAGGGAGGTCTGCATGTGCAGCCTGGAGCTGGCTGGGGACTGCCCAAAACAAGAAGGTCCCCAGCCACCTCCAGGCTGCATGTGCTTCTCTGTGTAGCTCTGTGTTATTATTAAGGTTGCAAAGCTAAGTACTTAAGTTGGGAAATGCCAAAGTGATGGTTGTCTGTGCAATGTTATGTTCTTCTATGTGTGCATGTATACAGTCTTTAATTGCATGATCCTATGCTATTTTTTTCATGAACACATGGTGAGTGCTCATTCAATGAGCAGCTATTCTATATCTTACTTTCTTTTTGTGGCTCTAAGTGAAACCCACATTTTACTAACTGTATAGGTGGCATGCTTTACTCTGAAGGCAGAATCTTAATTTCTTCATGAGCTTTTCTGTGGTGCTCATGACTACAGTGCGATTGCTTCACAAATATTAATCTTCACATCATCCCAGTGAAGTGAGAATATTGTCGTATGCCTGTTCTATAGGTTGGCAGCTGAGGCATAGGGATTAAGACTTAAAGAATTATCCACTCATTTTGGGTGGGTATTTTGAGAGGCACAGGACCTGATTTTTTTGAGCAGTTAGCATCCTATTGCTATTATCTATTCAGAGCACCGCTCCCTGTGGATTCAGTCATAGCTGTGATTACTTAGCATTTCTAGAAATCAGACCCTGGGACAAGTCAGGCACTCAGGAAATAAGGAACATAGTTATTTCCCTGACTGGATTTCCAGTCTTTTCCTGACTTCCCACTCCTTAGCTGCTACTTTTCCTCCTTCCCACCAGCTTTTTCACCTCCTGCTTGTGCTTTGTCAACACTAGAGCTATTGAGAGCAAAGGTGAAACAGGCTTTAATTCTAGTGCCTGGTCCAACCCTGGCTTGGAGGAACAATTACTGAAAAAGTCCAACTTTTTCTCCAGTAGCTCTGGGCTGGAGCATTCTTTCATTGTGTGGGGCTGGTGCATGTGCAGACCTGTTGCAAGAAAGAGCTGTGAGAGGACAGACCGTGTTTTGGTTGGTCTGGGAATATTGCTCTTCACACTCTGTTTAGCACTAAAAACTAGGAAGGAAAGAATATGCTAAAAGAAGGTAGAAACTTAGAGATGTCAGCTGCTAATATTGAAGTTTTTACTGAGCATGTGCAAGAAGCAGCTTTCCCTCACCCCCACCCATCCAAGGTAACCAACACCTCCATTACTGACAATCGCATCGTGTGTGCCCACTCAGTTAAATATCTCCAGGTTGCTTCAGATTGTGAAGCGCATGAAATGCTTGGATTCATTGTCAACTTTACAAAAACCAGGATACTTTACCAACCCACCCCAAACCCAGCCATCTGCTCTTCCACATACTATAATTAGAAGGGAGTCCTTGGACAATGTTGAACATTTCCCTTACCTGGGCAGCCAGCTTCCCCAAAAAGTAATCAAGGACAATGATACTCAGCACCGCATAAAATTTGGCAATGCTGCCTTTGGATGACTCCAAAACTGTCTTCAGTGGTCGTGGCATCAGAACCCAAATCAAACTAGGCAGTTGTCATCCCTACCCTGTGGTATGGGAGTGAAACTTGGACGGCGTATTGGAAACACCTAAAAGCTTTGAAATGTTACCATCAGCAATGTCTTTGAAAAATTCTCCATGTCATCTGGAAGGACAGAAGCATGAATGTCAGCATTCTGGTGCAAGTAAACACCACCGTGAAGCCAAATTTATATGGCAGCAGGTCTTTTTGGACAGGGCGTGTCATAAGGATGCCTGACAACTTGGCTCTCAAAGCAGGTCCTATACTCCCAACTCAGCAGTGGTCAGCACTCTAGGGTGGGCAAAAGAAGCAATTCAAAGACAGCTTGAATCTCTTATCTGAAGAAATATGTAATTAACATCAATACCTGGGAGGTTCGAACACTGAATTTGTTCCAAATAACGTGATGTATGACAAAGCATTGACAATTTTGAACAAATTTGGAGACTATGTACACAGATAGACAAATGAGACAAAGGAAAGATCTGTGACCTGACATCACCAAGATCTATTCCTCCCACCTTCCCGGAACTATTTGCCACATTTGCCATTGGACATGCAGACCTCCGCTTGGGCTCCTCAATCATCTGTGGACTCATCAATTCCTTATTTAGTGAAAGACTGTCATCCTCGTATTGAGTAATTGTCTACGATAGCAGCAAGCAGCACCTTCTCCATCCCCGCAACAAAGTTTTATAGTTTGGTTAAACATGGGTGGGTTTTCCTGGAGACAGAGAAAGCCCCGTCCCCGCACTATGGCTAGGCCCTTCTCAGATTTCAAGTCTGTGTTCCAAGGTATGGGGATGCTATGGAGACTTCTCCTTTGGTCAGCTAGAATTTTAAATAATGGACAAAATGTGATGTATTTCCCAATCTCATTCTTGCAATAGACTAAAATGTTGTCTGAAATTTTCTAAAAATTTGAGCCTGAAGCACTTTCTCAGTATCTGAAATTTCAATTTGAATGGGTAAATTTTGGTAAAAATAGGAATAGCTGGACAGCAAACCTCGTAACAAGAAATGTTAGACAACTGTAATTAACATACATTCATTATTGATACTAGTCCCATATGAGCTATGCAGTGCAGGCACTAGATGTCTACTGGAAGGTTTTCTTACTTTACTTGCACGACGTTTTTTTTTAAGTTATGTGCACAAGAGTAATGCGTACCAGAGAAAAATAGTTAATGATTGTTACTAGAGTAAATATATTGAATCAATTTGCAGATCACAGGCAGTGTACATTTTAATGCAATGATTTTAACAAGTCTTTATTTTGATCTCAATTTTAGGAGCCACAAAAATAGTTCCAGTTGAGGCTGCTCCCCAAGAAACGGAACCGGCAACAAATTCTGAGGCAGCTGTTCAAGACCAAGCTCAGCGAAGAGGCTATCAAGAATATGCCATTCAGCAAACACCCTATGAGCAGGCAATGAAATCAAGCAGGTAATTTTAAAAGCATTTAATTTTCTTGTTTTGAACATGGGAGAGAATTTTTTTTCTGTCTTCAGTTTTATGTAAGCAGAACGTCCAATGATCAGTAGGCAAAAACACTTTGCGTGAGACATGGCTGCTCTTCATAATGTGAAAACGTCCTGAAGAATTTTGTTTTTTGCATACCCTTAGTCCATAATATAGAGCAGTGACAGCATACTTTGCGATTGTATATCAGTACTCTAATTATAACTGTTGTTTGTTGTTTATTCTAGGCTAGGTCCAACTCAGCTAAAAATTTTTACTTGTGAATACTGCAACAAGGTATTCAAATTTAAACATTCTCTCCAGGCTCATTTGAGGATTCATACAAATGAAAAACCTTACAAATGTTCATACTGCAGCTATGCCAGTGCCATCAAAGCCAACCTCAACGTGCACATGAGGAAACACACAGGGGAAAAATTCAGTTGTGATTACTGTGCATTCACATGTCTCAGCAAAGGCCATCTCAAAGTCCATATTGAGCGAGTCCACAAGAAAATTAAGCAACATTGTCGCTTTTGCAAAAAGAAATACTCGGATGTCAAAAATCTAATCAAGCATATCAAGGAAACGCATGACTTGAAGGACAAGAAGGTGAAAGATGTGTTTGATGAGCTCCGCTTGATGACCCGAGAAGGCAAGAGACAGCTGCTGTATGACTGCCATATTTGTGAACGCAAATTCAAAAATGAACTGGATCGAGACCGTCACATGCTAGTCCATGGTGATGAAAGACCATTTGCTTGTGAGCTCTGTGGCCATGGAGCCACAAAGTATCAAGCACTTGAACTTCATGTTCAGAAACACCCATTTGTTTATGTCTGTTCTGTATGCCTGAAGAAATTTGTCAGTTCTGTAAGGCTTCGTGCACATATCAAAGAAGTTCATGCGGATTTGCAAGAAACTTCTGTTTTTAACAGTTCTATCAATCAGAGTTTCTGCCTTCTGGAGCCTGGAGGTGATATCCAACAGGAAGCACTTGAACAATTAACACAGCCTGCAGATAAAATCACTCTCCTAAGCACTGAAGCACTTAGCATACCAAAGCAACTTAACTGTAAAGATGAAACAAATACCACTGAGGTAAGCCATAATGATCAGCTTGACAGTCATTTAAAAATTGAGGCTGCCCCTTCCTTAGAATTGGAAAACTCTCTGGTGGAGAGTGCAGCTGAGCTGCCCTGTCAACCATCAACTGATGCAGAAGTACCGCACATTGAATCACATGCAGCGCCAAATTGTTTTTTGCTGAAAAATGCTGCTAGCACTTCAGAGGAACCAAAATTGTCTCCTGGAAATGAACAGGAAGTCAACTGTGATAGTTCAGTAAATATACAGGGTGATGAAATCCACCTGCTGTTGCCGGGAGGCAAAGACTCGAGTGTGAATCACAATGATATAAACATTGAGAGCCTTTCAGTTTCTGACGAGAAAGGTCAACCCTTTCATGCTAGTGAATTAGAAACAAGCACATCATCAAATCAAAACATGGCAGAATCTACAAATCCTCTTCCAGCACCAGATTCCAGGGAAGCCATCAGTCCAAAACCAAACTCTGCTAGCACAGCTTCTGATACTCGGGGAGGAGCTGTGGCCTTTATGCAGATTTTGGATGGTTTACAAAAGAGACAAATGAACACAGAGTTGTGTGAGAAGATAAGAAAAGTTTATGGAGACCTGGAATGTGAATACTGTGGTAAGAACCAGTAGAACTGTGTGAGTTTTATTTCAAATGAATCACATAACAGTACATTTTTATTGCATTCTTTTTTTAAATGTATAGTTCACTGCATTTTCATGGTTAAGCAAAGATTCTGGGCTGGATTTTGTCATCCAGTCCAATTTATTGTGTTCAGAACATACAACCATCAGGGAAACTGAGGAAGAGAGAGGTCTTTGTCCAAACAAGTCTTTGCTTTACCAAATTCTTTGTTAGTATTGCAGCCCTGCTAGGTATTATTTTAGCAGCACAAATTAAGGCTGTGCACTGCAGATTTTAACTTTTACATGGGCCAGGCAAAGATGCATGTATACACACCAGAGCTGTATGATGGCAGTTTTCATTTTCATACTTATATAAATCTATTCCTTTGAGCTGAAAAGTTTTAGTCTTAGGATGAAACTGTTTTGATTCTGTTGTTCTGGGTGGAAGCTAGGAAACTGGAGGGAGATTACTCTCTTCTGACAGCCCCCAAATGGAGAAGCTCTGAAATTTGATTCGTCTTCACTGCCCAGGAAGGGAAAGGAATTAAAGTTTAAAGAAAATCAGTTAAAAGTTTTGATACTTTTAAGTCAATATATTTGTGCTTTCATTTCAAGGCATTTCTGGAACCCTCATATAATTAAGTTCAGAGCGGCTGAAGAAGGATAAGTGCTAGCTCGGTCTACCATCGTATTGATAGTTCAGCTTAACCACATTTGCTACGGGCTCGCGTATTAGAATGCGGGAAGAGACTTTAAGGGTGTCTTTACACGTGCTCTGGGGGTGCTCTCATTAAAGCTCCTGCAGCGCCTTATATATTCAGCATCCCCGCCACTCGTTCCACAAGCTTTAGTTAAAGGCCCCTGCTGCCATTTGAAGCATGGGGATGCTGAATACACGAGACATGGAGGCTGCTGAAGTGCACTAATTAGCACGCTCCATCAGACCCAATTAATCGAGTCTGGTCCAAGGCGCTGTAATTACAGTGCATCGGAGCAGCATCTCCCCATATCTACAGGCACCCTAGAAGACCTCTTCATTGGGAACACATTTGTTAACACATCCCACAGAAAGGGTGACATTCATACAAGGTCACTATTGTGTTTTTCTAGTTGTGCATGTAACAGTGAAATCTCTTTGAGACAATTTAACAGGTATATTTCCAGAAGGAAGGCTTTGTAAAATTGTGTTTTGAATAAAAGGGAACTGAACATTTTTTTTTTTTTTTTTTTTTTAACAATATCAGTTTTTACAAATGTCTTTAGAAATTACTTGTTTTCATGTTTAATTTTATTTTTAGGCAAGTTGTTCTGGTACCAGGTCCATTATGACATGCACGTTCGTACTCACACTCGAGAACATTTATATTACTGCTCCCAGTGCAATTATTCCTCCATCACCAAAAACTGCCTTAAGCGTCACGTCATACAGAAACACAGCAATATTTTGCTGAAATGCCCCACTGAACACTGTGACTATTCTACTCCAGATAAATACAAGCTTCAGGCACATCTGAAAGTTCACACAGAGCTGGTAAGTAACAAAATAAATACTCTTTGCTTTATCAAAATTCTGTCTCATCTCTGTAATGTCACTTTCTTTGAACATTTCTTTCAAATTTGGAAAAAATCTTAATGCAGTACATATGCTCTGTCTCCTCTCCTCCTTCCTGGCTGTTTTGGGGCTTGAGACTTTAAAAGGGGGTATGGGACTGTTGCTACTTCTGACTCTTTCCACAGTTATTAGTACCACAAACTAGTATGTTGCTGTAACTGTTAGGATAAGCTGACTTAGTTGTAAAGGAAGGCATTTTTATGGTTAGTGTGGTTAAATCTGGTCAGTCTTCTGTTACAGCTATCATTTCCGTTCACGGTGGATCAGGAGGGTGAGACACCTACTTCTGAAAGGAACACAGTCTTGTTCAGGTCCCCACCCCTGCATTGAATTACTGGGTCAAGTGCCTGATGGGTTATGGAGGTATGAGTGGCCAGTCAGCATCATCCTTTTCAGGGCTCTATCTGCAGCACATTTATTCAAGAGCATCTAAGGAACTCCAGAACATGTTGCAAGCCAATTTTGCTCCAAGAAGCTCTGCCTATGATCCAGTGCCTCTGTCTGAATATTATGCAGAAATCAGTATTTTCTACACCAGATTTGCTCAGTTGTCTTCCACGTCTGAGTTTTCAATGTATTGTTGTGCTCTGAACTACAGTTTTAAATTACATAAGTATTTTATGAGCATCTAGGAGATGTAGGCTTTTTTATTGCTGTTAGATGAAGAATTTGTAATGAAACCATCGTGAGTGCGCAATTGACATGTGCATCTTTAAGCAGAATTGGAATTAATGCAGTATATTACAAATATTTATTAAATATTTATTTCATGGCTCTTATTGATTCCATGAATCTGTGTGGCATAGCTAGTACTGAATAAAGCACAATTTCTGATTTCAAGAAACATTTGGAAAGCTGTTCTGGAATGTATAATTAAATATTATTTACTGGCAGTGCCAGGAGGGTGGCATGAGTTATATCCTAGTAATTTAGATTTATTGCAAGACATTCAGACAGCTCCAACAGTAGCAATTTTGTTAAGTACCTTTTGAATTCATTAAACTTACTCTTGAATACATTGTTTACTTCTACATAGAAGAAAACATAGTAAATAACAGTGAAAGTTGCCCAGAGAGAAGATCCATATGCACCTCCCCTTAAAAACAAGAATTACTGAGCTAAAGGCACATTTGGGCTTTTAACTGCCCCCCTGTTAATGTAAGTCCCTATCTGTTCTCAACGTGTAAAGCGTACAGTATACATACCACATTTCTCTAGAAAGCAAAACTTTACTTATCACCTAGTCTGTGCTAACGTGTCTGTTGGATGCAGTGGATCAGCGAAGCTGTGTCTTGTTTTACTAGAAGCATGGTGTGGAATAAAGACTTTGTTCTTAGAGTGCATTTTTTCTTATAGATAGTTCTGTGTAATTGCTTTGAAAAGCAGTTAAGTGTAATGTTTTCAGACCCTCCTTGCTCAGGCAGGAGATAGACACTTGGTTAGTATCTCCAGGAGTTGGAACAGAACCCTCTTATGACTCTTACCAAGTGCTGGTCTGTGGGGACTTGCAGGAGAGTTTATCTATAACCAGCAGGTGATAGAAAAGGAAAGGACACAATCTTATATTTTTAGGTATCTGTTTTCTCTCTCTTATTTTTACTTCATTTCAGATAATCTAGAACTTCCTGAATATAGCTGATAGTTTCCACTTCAACAAAACTGCAACATAGCGCAATAAAACTCCAGCTCCTTTAGACACAAGTTTTCTCACTTTTTTTTAGTTGAATAGATGTAATTTCTTAACAAGAACTGAGATTTATTATAATCAGACAGTTTTCCTAATAGTGGTTCCATTAAATTGTTCTGAATTTCTTAACCTTACTCTTGTAATATATCAGTAGTCAAGTATTTACATCTTACCATGAAAAGGAGTAACTAAGTGACAAAATGGTGGCCAAGGTTTAAAAAAAAATTGGAGTTTAAATATACATTCCTAAATCCTTATTCAAAATTGCCGAGCATTCAACAGCTCCAACTAATCTTCACAGCCAGAGGCCCAGGACCTTGATGCAAAGTAGGATTGAGAATGCATCTCCAATTAGATTGCATTGGTAAGCAGAGTCTTTCAAATTTCACAGTGACAGCTATTACCAAATATGTATTGAACATTTAAAGTGCACATTTGTTAACCTATATTTTTATCAAGTGATTATTAAATAGTATAACTAGAAATGGCCTTTTCCAGATGGATCTTCGTACCTAAACCTTGTGTTTTTTAGTACTTTACATACAGGTTGTACAGTAAAATATTTTAACCAATGTATAAGCATCTTCATGTAAGAAAAGCTGCATGGATGTATATGGAGGGTGCAAATTCAAACATTCAGAAGCTATTCCCAGAATTAAAGTTGCCTGTGAAGCCTAAGTTTAACCCTTTGCTTGAATACCTTCTGATTTTTCATTACATACTTATATACAGTATTTCTTTTTCCTTTTGGATCTTTTTTTCATTTGGCGCCTGGGGTGACTGATGTTTTTTTCAGATAAATCAGATTTTCAATATTTCTTTTTATCCTCATCATCATTCAGTGTAAGGCCTCATATCTTATTCTCTATGCACCATCCAAACCCTGCACTGAAAAATGAAATGATTAATTTTCTCATGGGCTCTTCTGTGGTACTTATTGTCACTGTATCTGTGCCTAATAAGCATTAATTAAGTTATATTTGTAACACCCTGCATGGTAGAGAGGATTTTCATAGAGTGGGAACTGAGGCATAGGTTGCTTAAGACCAAAATTTGCAAATGTCTTCACTAATTTTCCATGCCAAATTGGAGACACCTAGGGCTTGATTGATCAGAGTGCTTAGCATTTCTATACCTCTTTAAATGTTCAAACCATGGTGTAAGGCATTACCTAATTAATCATCCCAGCACTCTTGAAAGGTAAAGAGGAATTATAATTGCCTCAGATAATGAACTGAAAGAGGCTCAGATCCATAAAGGTCCAGACTGACGAAAGTATTTAGGCACCCAGCTTCCACTGATGCAAACTGAAGAAGTTAACTTAGCCAAGAAAACCCACTGAGCCAGTGGCAGAGCAGAGATTAGGATCTAGAGGCCCCTTGCTCTTAACTTGGCAGGCGTTCCTTTGGACCAGGGATGTCAGACTCATCCAGCCCCATTGTAGACTGGATGGGTGGTGCAGGCTTAGTCCACAGGCCAGATCAGGCCCACAGACCACCCTCCCTCCCTTCTGACCTTCCTCTTCTTCCACCCCCTCTCTGCCCTGCCTGCTTCCCTCCAACCTCCTACCATACCTGATCAGGTGGCTGCTGCAGCCGGTCTACCACCCACACCATGAATCCCTCAGTCACTGGAACAGGCATAGCATGTGGCAGAGTCCAACTGGATTGTGGTGCCCCAGCTGGATGGCACCACATGTGGTGCCCGTTCCATGCACTCTGGTTCTGGGCTGCATGTACAGCAGCCACTGGCTCCGGTATGCTGGGGCACAGGGGAGGGGAGAGAGGTCTGTGGGTCCAATCTGGCCTGTGGACCAGCTCTACATTGTGAATGCACATAGTGCCCCAAGTGGGTCTAACCAGACCCAGGGACAGTGTCGGGGGCCAGATAAGGGTGCTCCATGGGTTGCATGTGGCCTGTGGGCTGTATGTTTTGACACTCCTACTTTAGATTTCACTGCTTCAAGTGTTGGGATATTCACCATTCTTACTGATTTCAGTTGCAGGTGTGTGTGCAGGCCTTCTGGTAAGGTGTTTGGTATCTCGAATTAGACCGCTAGAACATGAGGAAAACACAGTCCGTGGTCACGTGTAAAAACTCTGGTTTAGGTAATTAGTTCAGAATTAAATAGGAACTCTGTGTCAGTGGCAGAAATCAGAACCCAGGTCCCCGGAGTTGCTTCATCACTGTATTCAGTAGCCGGAGCCACATTACTGTCTTACTACTTTTCATAGATTCATAGATGTTAGGGTCGGAAGGGACCTCTATAGATCATCGAGTCCGACCCCCTGCATAGGCAGGAAAG